CAAATCGGTCTTTTGGTAAGAACTGGATTTATAGCGTGAATCAGTTAAAGTGAGGTTTTGATATTCCATAGAGTAAATTGAGGAATTCAAAATTATTTCTTCAAAATTATCATTGCTGTTTTCTAAGCTAAACAACAGGTCCCTTTAGTTTTGGTCGGGAAGCCCAATTAACCCTTCGCAGGAGGTAGCTGAAAGGTCTGCACGCAGTGCGGCTTTTAAGCTAGTCAATAATAATCACAAATATTTAATAATAGGTCCAAAATGTAATAATTTGTTCTAACAGAGAAGAATGACTTCGTAGAGTCGGCTACTTGCACTTGTTAGTACGGATTGTATTGCCCGTGCACGTCAGCTGGTCGCCATGTTCAGTTCAGAAGTGGCGACTTCATCTTGATAGACAAGGGAAATAAATTGTATTTTGAGTTATCGATCTTTTTTAGGGGAAAGAATTTAGCTTCTCCTAACATCATGCTTCACTGTCAGGGTCGTATCTTCATATTGTGCGCAGTGTTCTTTTATCCCCAAACGTAACATTACTGGTTTGTAACCTCAGTGTTCAATTGTAAACATATAACAGGGTTCTCCTCTAGCTTTCCAGTGACTACTCCACGTTGGGTTTTTATTCTCGCTTACGTTCGTGTGCGCCCCCAAACCAGGAAAGGCCCATTGCACGTTCACAGGGAAATGAGAACGCGCACCCTGTTTACAGTATATCTAGGTGTTACATTCAGAGCTTGCTTGGTCTGGGTGGGCAGGTAGGTGACAAATGGGACAATTTCTACCATGTCAGTCTAATAGCTTAGCTCGTCAGCCATTTTCCCCAACACAAATTTCGACCTTCGTTTCTCTTCCAATAAAGTCTGTGCACGCCTGCCTGCTTCTGTATACGGCCATCCTTTCTTCACCACTGCACATTACTCTATACAAATATCCTCACTATAAACTCGTACTTTTTGACAAATGGTACAATTTCTACCATGTCAGTCTAACAGCTCAGCTCGTCAGCCGTGCTAACTCTCTGCGCATCTACACAACACTATATAGACCAGCAACCGGAAATAATCAATATCCGAGTTTTTGTCACTTGATACCCAATGTGTTTATTTATTTACTTATTTGTTTGTTTCCTTTCGGTCAAGTGGATGCCTATAAGAAGACTCAACTTCAAAGACTATTCACCGGCCATAAAAAAAGAAACAGATAAAATCATGTCCCGACGTAGTGCCACACAATTAATCTGTCTAACCTAGTTACTCTGTTCTTGTAATAATTCGACGGACTACAGAAACATTTCGCCTTGTGGTGTTTTCTTCACCAGTTGATCTTTTCGTGCAGGTCGTCCGTGAAACCCTTGTGGCTTCAACGGCCTACAATTTGGTGATACGTGTAAATTTCTGACAGCGTCCTTCAGATCTCTCGGGATAGCGTTTATGCTCGATTTCAGAATAACTGAAATTTGCCGTGTGATCTTAAAACGTCGCTGGCGTCCAAATCCTCCTCGGACGACCCAGTCATGCAAGAGTCGGACAGAATATCAAATCAAACACAAATAATATTTTCAAGATAGCGACACAAACTACCTGTTTCAATCTTTCCCATTTCCCCAACACAAATCAGGCTCTTTCGACCTTCGCTTCTCTTCCAATAAAGTCTGTGCACGCCTGCCTGCTTCTGTATACGGCCATCCTTTCTTCACCACTGCACATTACTCTATACAAATATCCTCACCATAAACTCTTACTGTTTGCATCATTGAGTCAATTTCTTTCATGTCCTTTCCGTAAAACTTTATGTCATCCATATATAAAAGATAGTTTATCTTACTACTTCTTTTGCCTGAGGAATAACCACATTCTGTGATATTGAAAAACACAGAAAGAGGTATACAACAAACGCCTGTTGCAGTTTACATCGAAACGTTACAGATACAGGGATCATAAACATATGAATGTGAATTGTGGCGTTTCATTTATCGAGATACTAAACTTAGCCTGTCTCATTCATCTTTTTATCACGTTTATTTTTACTAGAAGTAACCATGATAATAAAATTTCATTTAAGTTAATGATTGAATAAACTCATGGCGTGTTCTACGGCGATAAAATAAACGTAGAAATTCCCCATTCACCGCGTTAAATATTTGATCTTAACAACTTTAAAAAAAATATTGCAATAATAATCATAAATATGAATTCGGGTTGTTATTTGAAGAATAGGGTACAAATAAAAAGATTTGAAAGTCACAAGGTTTTTGTATTTCACTAAAGCAGACGTTAAACACGTGATTGTGTTATCACCTCTACATTCTTTCTTTCTTTCCATTTTGCAACGTCTTTCTTTCTTTCTTCCTTTCTCCCTTTTTTCTAAATTTTCTTTCTTTCTTTCTTTCTTTCTTTCTTTCTTTCTTTCTTTCTTTCTTTCTTTCTACATTTTCTTCCTTTCTCCCTTTCTTTCTAAATTTTCTTTCTTTCTTTCTTTCTTTCTACATTTTCTTTCTTTCCCTCTTTCTTTCTACATTTTCTTTCTTTCGTTTTTCTATCTTTATACTTTTTCTTCCTCTCTACCTTTTCCCTTCTTTCTTTCTTTCTTTCTTTCTTTTAAAGCAAAGCGCTTTTGATATAGCTTTTTTTCTATTCTAACAACCAAACAGGAATGAGGCTTACAGCGACATCACGTTGAAACGCCGTACGAACATCGAAGTTAAGCAATGTCGACCAATGCCTAGATGGGTGATGGCTTGGGAATACAAAGTGCTGTAAGCTTGGATGTGTGAGTTGTTTAATGAATAATGACTTGGAATTGTTAATTGGGGAGCCTAGTTCCAGTTGGGTTCGTAAAATTCACTTACGCACAATTATCCTGGGGAAATGTATGAATACACCGCTTCTCCCCCAAGCTGTGGGTTAATTAGTAAAATTTGTATCACTAAATCATTATTATCTCCGAAGAAAAATTCTTACAATCTACAAATATTTTCTGGCTTTAAATAACCTTCAAAGGGTTGATAAGAAAACGAATCAATCAATGAAATACTGATTAGCTACACAGGCATGTCTTTTAGATTTATTTACATTCTCTGGAATATAAATGTATAGAAACTACAGTGGCTACAAATAGGGGGATCAATGTATGTAGTGAGTGTAATATACAATTGACCCCCCACTTTATAACCACATTATAATTTCTTGTTTGTTGATAAGCTGCAGAAAATGAATGAATCAATCAATGAAATACTGATTAGCTACACAGGCATGTCTTTTAAATTTATTTACATTCTCTGAAATTTTAAGACATTTTTATGTTTATGCATTCTTTCTATAGATACAAATATTTAAGTAAATGCTCTGTTTTATAATAAACAGTATTAACAACATTTACCGACCTGAATGTCCGAGAAATTGTCATAGAATATATGCGTCATACCTCATCTCAGAGATATAGACAGATACTGAAAGGGCGAAACGTTGTAATAAATATGGCGACAAAGATGAGGACAATAGTTCGAATAATGTAAATAGTGTACATAATACCTCATCTCAGAAATATAGACAGATACTGAAGGTCCGAAACGTTGTAATAAATATGGCAACAAAGATGAGGACAATAGTTCGAATAATGTAAATAGTGTACATAATACCTCATCTCAGAAATATAGACAGATACTGAAGGTCCGAAACGTTGTAATAAATATGGCAACAAAGATGAGGACAATAGTAAATAGTGTACATTATATCTCATCTCAGAAATATAGACAGATACTGAAAGGCCGAAAGGTTGTAATAAATATGGCAACAAAGATGAGGACAATAGTCCGAATAATGTAAATAGTGTACATAATATCTCATCTCAGAAATATAGACAGATACTGACGTTTCTTTCCTTTTAATCAATTCAATTTGTATGTTTAACGTCTTGATATAAACTGTAATCAGCGTTTGATTTTTTTTTACTAACGTTCGCCTAATACAAGCCTCGAGAGCCAATCAGGTTAGAGGATTACAATCGAAATGGTAATGCTGAATGAGGTGTGATATGAGCGAAAGAGGAGGTTGTAAAAAGTAAAGATTAAGTTGACTAAGAAGATAGATTAGATAAAGATTGACCCTTACTCTGAAGAAAAGAGTGTATAGCGTTCAGGAAAGCATCCACGCGGGAGTCTGTCTCCCAAAGTAGCAGTTCTTGGGAAAATACCGCCTTAGAGGAAATTTCTGCTCACATTTGGAATACGGGGGAAGTAAGGGTGATTCGACTCCGTGGAAGAAGCATGGACTATTCTTGCAGATGATTTCACTGATGTGCAATTCTCGTACGAGCACTGAAATTAAGCAACGCCAAGTCGAGTCAGTACCTAGATGGGTGACTGTTTGGTACGCTTGGATGTGCGGGTGGTGTAATATATAACGGCTCGGAATTTTTAATCGGAGAGCCGAGTTCCAGTTCCAGTTGGCTTCGTTACATCAGCGGAAATACCTTTGGGAAAGGTATAAATCCACCTCTTTCCCCCAGGTATAGGTTAATTAGTAGCACTTGTATTAGTAAATCACTATTATTTCCCAACAATTCTTACACTGTAAAAATAATTTCTGGCTTTAAATAACTTGCAATGGGTTGATAAACCGTAAAAAACAAATCAGTCAACCAATTAATCAGTCAACAGATGTATGTGTGTGTGTGTGTGTGTGTGTGTGTGTGTGTGTGTGTGTATTTGAGTCCGTACGATGGTGAAAATATAAAATTTGTCTTTCTTTTGACTAATTTTTCTCTTTTCGCTTTTCAGATTTGCCCCATGGCTGACGAGTTTCTTTGACGCCGGCTGCATGTCGTGACCAGCGACCGGGCAGCAGCCTCACCCTTCAGCAAACATTCCTATTCCGACGCGCAAACTCGCCCCGACTCCTGCCGCCGGCCCGACGCACAATGATGCTCCTCCACGGTCGACCGCCGGGGAACGCACGGGTGGTAATGTGATCAGGCGCCGGCAGCGGAGGACTCCGGCCCCGATGTTCCCACGACTACCCAAAGTCTTCCGGATATTTTATATGGGAGTCGCGTTCCTGTCGCTTTGTTCGTTCCTTATTCTCCGTGAACTCTCGTCCAGAAAAAAACAGGAGCTCAAGATGACCAGATTGTCTTCGTTACCGGCCAAAGAGCGACAGGAGATAGGTGGCGAGGATTTAAACACCAACAATAAAAATCTTAATATAAAACAAAATGAATATAATAACAATTTTTTCTTTTTTAACGGGATGCCCTACAGATCGGCCCGCGTTGGCTCTTCTTCATCGCAATCCAAGCAGCAAGTGTTGCAGATACAGCAACTACCAGATGAAAATATAGACTCACAAACATCTCTATGGAATCAATCATCACTCACAACGGGACCTAGCCTCGGTCTTCCTTACAATTTTAGCCAAATTATTAACCCTTCTTTTCTGTGCGCCTCGCATAATTTTGTCATAGTCTACATCCACACAGCCCCAAACAATTTTAAGCGTCGCATGGCAATTCGGCAAACTTGGGGGGAGAAGGACTTGCTGAAAAACTACGAGGTTCGTCTCGTGTTCGTCATGGGCGTCGTGGATAGCGTTCGTGTCATGGAAATGGTGAAGCTTGAGTCGGATCGCTACAATGACATTATGCAGAGTGATTTTAAGGACTCGTATCGTAACCTTAGCTTTAAAGCAATGGTCGCGCTCCGTTGGATCGCTGCTTACTGCCATAACATCACTTACATTCTCAAGACGGATGACGACATATTGGTCAACATCTTTCTGCTGGCCAAGCAGCTAAATGATCTACATCAGCATAATTTCGGCCGGCAAGACTTCATCATGTGCAATGTGTGGACGGGAATGAGAGCCATTCGGGACCGTCGCAGTAAATGGTTCGTCCCACGCCGCGAGTTCCCGCGTGACACCTACCCGTCATACTGTTCGGGCTCAGCGTTTGTTATGAGTCCAGACCTGGCCGTCCGCTTACTCAAGAAGTCCTTAACCATCCCGTTCTTCTGGATTGATGATGTTTACGTGACCGGGGTCCTGGTCAAGGCTATCGGTTTAAAACATGTGCGATTTAATTCGGCCTACGTTCTCGACTCGGGCAAAGTTGTGGACCGTTTCTTTAAGGACACAACGCGGACGCTTGTTTTCTATCACGTTCGCGGTTACAATACAATGTATACATTATGGCAAAAGTTAAAAGAGAGAATGAACTTATTGTCTTCTGAACACCGGAATTTCCCGGTGAGCCGAACGCCTGGTCCCCGCTAACAATTTATCCTGTTAGTGTCATCTTAAAACTCTTGTTTCTTTTGTTTGTCTTTTTTTTTAATTTTTTTTTTTTTAAAGAAAACGTTTTTACCAATTAAAAAAAAATCTAATTTACTAATAAGAAATTTTTGACTGAAAAAAAAATTAACAGGTATTTTTAAAAAGAAAATTTGAAAGAAAAAAGAAAGAAAAAAAAACGAACACTTTATTGATTCATCTTTGTAAATTAAAACTTTTACAAAGTAACCAATGTTTTAGAACAAAAACACATGTTAGAACCTGAATAAATTTAAACAGTTAAAAAGATTTCTTAAAAAGAAAATCAATGGAGAACTAAGGCAATTTAAAAATACAACATTTTACAAATATACATGTAAGAAATTGTTTGGTTTATCTGGTGCGGATCAATTGCAATCTTTTGAAAAGTCTCGAGTTTTCATGTTTGTCCATTATTATTTCTACCTCCAGATAAAGCTATTCATTTCTATCATTTGATTTTGGATTGAGCGTTTTAATAATGTCTTCTTTGTATAGAATTGTGTATTACTAATCAATCGGTAAGAGCGATGAAATTTGAAACGTGTCTCTCATTTCAACGCTTTTTCATTGATCATCACGAAGAGTATTTACCAGAGAGCCCACGCCACTACAGAATGGGATACAATGTCGAGATTTAAAGTGGGTTTAACGGCAAAACCGTGGAAAAATTGATCAAGCCCCTTCGGCATTTTGACTTTTGGGGTTACCTCCATGGGCCGGTCAATAAAACAAGCCCCTTACTGAAGGAAAGGTACTGCCTGGGTGGAAGGCTCCCTGGGGTTTGGACTTAATATTATTTTTTAAAAACTTCTCTGCATAGGCTTTCGCTTACGGCAGGTAGGTATTGATCAACACTTAAGAAGAGTTATCAGCTCAAAAAAGACAACGCGTAAGAACTTTAGGACGACCATTTTGGACGAATAAAAGCGATTTTTTTTTCTGTTAACAGCAGACGGTACATAACTTAGTCTCCAAGATACTGTTATGTCATTTTTAAGCTCACCATAGCAATAATGAAGAATTTGAAATCAAGGAAACAAAAGAGTAAAATAAATAAATACGAAAGCAAAAGATGGATTCATTTTTTTCAGTTGACAAGTTTAAAATATCGAACAGGACGTGTGAAGTAGAGTTTAAATCTCGGCGTTTTTGTCGAGATTAAAGCGTAGTATCTGTTCTTTTCTAAATTGAGACGAGAGAAAGCGCCCGATCTCGGAGATCCTAACCCCGATGCAGCACCTTCCTCGTTTTACTAAGAGAGGTGGGTTCGATGTAATATCGACGTCAGGTCGCTGGGAGGGGGCAATTTTTCTCCTTGGCCCACATGCATATTCATGCGTATGGGTATGTTAAAAAAGGCCTTATGTCACATACGGCCTTAGCGGGGAGACCTCAGCTAAATACATTCTTGGCCTTTTGGTCTGGATCAAAGTGTAGCATCTGTTCTCTCCTCGTTTTAGATGGGAGAACGCGCTCGATCCCAGGGATCGAGTCAGCACCTTCCTCGTTACACTAAGAGAGGTGGGAGTTCATGTAATATCGACGTTATCGTGACAGTGGTGGCTGTGTTATGGCAATTTTTTGTTCTTGACCTATATGCATATTCCCGTGCATGGGCAACCCACGTAAAAACACCTTGTGTCACATCCTACCTTAGTGAGGAGGTCAGATAAATACCTTTTCGACTTTCGAACTGGGATCAAAGTGTATCATCTGTTCTTCTCCTCTCTGCTGTGTTTATCTCTTCGAACAGCTCAAGGAAAAGGTCTGAGGGGATCCCTTGTCCGAAAAGCGGTTTGCTCGAAGAGATCGCATTTCAACTTTTTTCTCTCTAGGTGATCCTCATGAAATAGATATCAGATTGTGAGGAATTTCCTGCCTAATCCATGAGTCAAAGAATTATTTCAGTCGCTTGTGTAGGGAGGGAGTGACCTTTGACGATACGGGACCTTGTGTTAGTGAATTTGTTGGAATTTTGATGCGGACTAAAACTGGGGGATAACTCACCATTTCCCTACTTTATAACTTTTTTCCAGCAGATGAAATCACTTCAAAATTGGTATTAATTTGTGTGAAATCTCTCACTCATTCCAACCTGCAGCAGCACCTCCCCTCATGTCACTAAAGACCAACGCCAGTGTTACAGTGGTCACGGGGACTGAATAATTAAGCACCGGTACTAAAAATGACCTTAAGTCACACTCCGCCACCGGATAACGACACCACCGCCATAACTGTCCGGGGGAACAGAACTGATTTTTTTTTGTCTTTATGTACGGTCACAGCCACCCGACATCAAAAACGCAATCCAGTCATCTCCTAACCTCGTGGGGAGGTGAGTGAATTGGGATCAGAACGTGGTATCTATTCGCCTCTTTAAATAACGTAGAAACTTGGCACAGAGGATTCTGACATTGCGGCAGTACCTACCTCATTGATGGATATCGACGCCAGCGTGATAGTGGTCTCTAGAACTGGGGAATTTTTGTATTAGGCTCGAATGGACGCGTATGGGCACCCCACATTAAACTAACCTTGTGTCACATTCTATCACAGAGGGGTGATGAGTAAATATATATGTGCAATTCTCGCTCTCTCTCTCTCTCTCTCTTTCTTTCTCTCTCTCTCACTATATATATATATATATATATATATATATAACAGACCACTTTAAGGTTCCATTGTTATAATTTATTTCACCAGAGATTTTCTTTTTCTCTGGATCATCAGACCTCATTTCCAAGGATGAATTAATTTAAAGAAAAACATAACACTTTTCATCCTCTTTGGTATTATCCGTACGGGTTACCAAGATTTTCATTACTTATACATGCATATATATCTATATATATATATATATATATATATATATATATATATATATATATATATATATAGAAATAGGAAAATCACACGCAACGCACTACCAGATGGTTCCACAAGTAACTACACTGACAAGATCGTGTGGTCGAAACCCGGCTTGTGCGCTGCGAGTGTATTTTTCCTAATCATATATTTTATTCCCAGCTCTATAAATTTAGTTGTGTATTGAGCGCTTTTTAAAAATATATCCAAGCATTGGCCTGACTCTATTTTTGCCTAGTATTTTTCTTTTTAGTATTGTATATATATATATATATATATATATATATATATATATATATATATATATATACGTATAATACTAATAATAATGTAGAGCTGGTAATAAAATATATGAATGGGAAAAATCCACGCGCAATGCAACAGCCGGGTTTCGACCTTACGATCTTGTCAGGGTAGTTACTTGTGGAACCATTCGGGTATTGCGTTACGTATGGGTTTTCCTCATCTTATATATATATATATATATATATATATATATATATATATGTTATATTATAATATTTCAATTTTACATCACAGAAAGTGGAAAGCTTTTACTGTCTTTTTCTGTGTTCTAGAAAACAAAGGACTATTAGTATCTGGAATAAAAACAAGTCCATCATCTCTGTAAAGACACACTTGATGAGGATCTAAAATTCTACTGAGGGTGCATATATATATATATATATATATATATATATATATATATATATATATATATATATATATATATATACTAAATCGGCGATTTGACCGAGTCATATGCGTCATTTCTGGTTTTTAAAATTGAAATAAGAGCTTTCCAATTTCTGGGTCCTAAAATTGAAATTTGAGCTCTCTGTGGATTTATATCCTCCTTGAATCATCCCTACTAATCATCAATTGATATTATATATATATATATATATATATATATATATATATATATATATATATATATATATATATATAAGTTGAAGATGAAGATGTAGATGAGATATGATAGAAATTCGACAAAATGATAATATATATATATATATATATATATTAATGATAACAAAGATAGTGTGAAGCCAGAAATACTGTAGGTGGACGTGTGAAAGAAAGGACTTTTAAGGCAAGAAGTCTTTTTGCAATAAAGTGCTCGATATCAAAGATAGACCGTCAATGAGAATAATATAAACCGAATTTCTTACTTAGCAGATTGATAATATATTCATCAACTCAACTCCGGAGAATCGTAGATGAACGCTTTTTGTATTAGTTGAGTCCACTCATCGGGAGGTTTCAGCAATAAACAAAGAGGTGCTAAATATAACATCAATCAGCTAAGTGACAAATTTTATATTTGTATTAGTCATATATATATATATATATATATATATATATATATATATATTGGGACATGTTTCGTGGAATAATTTAGACATGTTCTCACTACTTATTTTCAACAGGATCCTTACATATTTGCGGATAAGCTTTTTTGGTGTCATTATTGAAGGACGAGAGAAAATCGCCGTTTTGATACATATTTTTTTTATTATTTCCGAGTACTTTTGACATAACACAATGTCATCATCAGGGTATTGTTTATAACAAGATAAATATTGTAGTGTTCATTATTGTCAAAGACAAAATTGTGTTCATCTGAAAATTAAATTGTTGCCGAAATATACGCATGTATATGGTGGACTCTCCTGTCGTATTCGACATATGAATGTCAGCAAATCAATTCCTAGGAATCGACAGCCAGACACCAGCGCATATAATCGAATTATATTATTTGATAAAAGTGGTGAAGGCTTTGTGCAGAACCAACCACACTTTTTGAAGGGCCGGATAAAGAGACCTGGTGTACCGTGTGCCACAAAGTTCCCCAAACGACCCTCCGCAGGTTTTGAATTCAGAGTTTTCCTTCTCCTAGACCAGTTGCCATCCAAGGCTATAGAACCCAGTTTGTTCTGCTAATTACCCATAGCTGGAGGAGGAGAGGAGGATTCATACCTTTCCCACGGATATTAGCACGTAAATGAACGTAATGGATTCGACTGGAATTCGAACTTGGCTCTCTGATTCCTCAATCCAAGCCGCTATATATATATATATATATATATATA